TGAGATGAATAGTGAGGTCGATAGTGAGATCGATAATGAGATCCAGCACCCCAAAGCAGTGAAATCGACCCCCCGGAGCGGCCCAGAGCAATTAAATCGAGCCGCCCCCAGAGCAGTTAAATCGAGCCCCCCGCAGCGACCCAGAGCAGCTGAATCAAACATCCAGGGCGGCCCAGAGTAGTTAAATCGAGCTTCCTTGGAACAGTTAAATCGAGACCCCCCCTGGAGCAGTTAAATCAAACCCTCGGAGCGGCCCAGAACAGTTAAATCGAACCCCCAGAACGGCCCAGAGCAGTAAAATCGAACCCCCGGAGCGCGCCAGAAGCGCACCGCAGCGGCCCAGAGCATTTCAATCGAGCTTCCTTGAAGCAGTGAAGTCGTGGTTGCCCGGAACAATAAAATCGACCCCCCAGACCGGCGAGCAGTTCAGTCAAACCCCCAGAGGCGCAGAGCAGTTAAATCGAGCTTCGAGTCTCCCTGGAGCAATCAGATCGATACCCCCAGAGCGGCCCACAGCAGTTCAATCGAACCTCCGGAGCGGCCCAAAGTAGTTGAGTCGAGCTTCCTTGGAGAAGTGAGAGCGAGCCTCCCCGCAGCAATATCAACGACCCCCGGCGCGGCCCCAACCCCCGGAGCAGCCCAGAACAGTAAAATCTTGGAACAGTTAGATCGAGCCTCCCCAGAGCACTCCAATCGATTGCCCAAAGAAGGGGACGACGGCGTCGAGAGGAGGAGGAGGAGGAGGAGGAGGAGGAGGAGGAGGAGGAGGAGGAGGAGGAGGAGGAGGAGGAGGAGGAGGAGGAGGAGGAGGAGGAGGAGGAGGATAAGCTAGGTGCGCTCGCGTCATATCTGACATCCTACCCCTCCCTCACATCCCTTACCATGGCGTAGATCCCCTCTCTACTCGCCCAGTCGGATGTCGAGCAGGGCAATGATCGCGAAAGGGTACGCGATGCATTGTAAAGCACGGCATGGCATGGCGTAGAAGAGCACCGCAAAACGTAGTATCAACCTAGCATTGCATTGCATGCCGTGGCATGGCACGGGAAATTACGCCAGCGCTGCAGCGGGAGCACGAGTCGAAACGAGCGGAAGCGCGGAAATGAGGCCAGCGCTGCAGCGGGAGCACGATTCGGAACGAGCGGAAGCGCGGAAATGAGGCCAGCGCTGCAGCGGGAGCACGATTCGGAACGAGCGGGGCCCGAAAATGAGGCCGGCGCCTCAGCGAGAGCAGCATTTTCAAAAAAAACAGACGAAGGACCCAACCATATGCAGGTGTGAGTACCGCAATTATGATTCCCTTTTTCGGTGGTGATCCCTATGGGGCAACGAACCGTGCTAGTGCTGTGCCAAAATGAATGGCGTGGTACACAACGCGAACGAAAACGATTGATCTGAGTACATAGGGAGACTGAGCGCGGGTGAATCTGAGCGCGAGGGCGTCTGACTGTGAATGAATTCGCGTGCGAGCGGGTCTACGTGCATGAATGCGAGTATGCCAATGCATGGTGACACTGTGTATGAATGTTAATAATTTGTGACTGACTGCCTCTGAGTACTCGTGACGCTGGGCGTGGCCGCCGCAAGGAGCTTCCCCGGGACTCCCCGACGGCATCGCCCGCGCGCCGCGACGCCACCGCGAGGATCGCGCCCGCTTCCTCCCCTTCTTTTACTCCCTCTTTGCCCGCTCGCTCAAAGTCCAAAGCTGCTGGCGCAGCGCAGCGCGGAGTCCCAGCGACGCGCGCAGGTCGCCCCGGAGGGGTCCCAGCGACGCGCGCGGGTCGTCCGCTGCGCGCAGCAAAGAGAGCTAGCTGGCTGGCTGATAGCGGGCAAGGCTCTTGCCGCTGGGCAGAGCGACGACGGGCGAGGGAGGCGCGGAACCCCGACGGCCTCCGACGGAGGTGTACTGGGTGGTGGGGACGCGTGCGGACTGTGCCACGGGGGCCTTCGGTGGAGCTCCCTCTGGGGCCACGAAACGTGTGAAGGGTGTGCCGAAATGGGTGTGCGGGACGCATGCGGGCACACCCACTGGGACCTTCGGTGGAGCTCCCTATGGGGCCACGAAACGTGTGAAGGGTGTGCCGAAATGTGTGTGCGGGACGCATGCGGGCACACCCACTGGGACCTTCGGTGGAGCTCCCTATGGGGCCACGAAACGTGTGAGGGGTGTGCCGAAATGGGTGTGCGGGACGCATGCGGGCACACCCACTGGGACCTTCGGTGGAGCTCCCTATGGGGCCACGAAACGTGTGAGGGGTGTGCCGAAATGGGTGTCACTGGGCGGAGCTCCCTATGGGGCCACGAAACGTGTGAGGGGTGTGCCGAAATGGGTGTGCGGGACGCATGCGGGCACACCCACTGGGACCTTCGGTGGAGCTCCCTATGGGGCCACGAAACGTGTGAGGGGTGTGCCGAAATGGGTGTGCGGGACGCATGCGGGCACACCCACTGGGACCTTCGGTGGAGCTCCCTATGGGGCCACGAAACGTGTGAGGGGTGTGCCGAAATGGGTGTGCGGGACGCATGCGGGCACACCCACTGGGACCTTCGGTGGAGCTCCCTATGGGGCCACGAAACGTGTGAGGGGTGTGCCGAAATGGGTGTGCGGGACGCATGCGGGCACACCCACTGGGACCTTCGGTGGAGCTCCCTATGGGGCCACGAAACGTGTGAGGGGTGTGCCGAAATGGGTGTGCGGGACGCATGCGGGCACACCCACTGGGGCCTTCGGTGGAGCTCCCTATGGGGCCACGAAACGTGTGAGGGGTGTGCCGAAATGGGTGATGACGATGATGATGGTGGGGAGGAGGAGGAGGAGGAGGAGGAGGAGGAGGAGGAGGAGGAGGAGGAGAGGAGGAGGAGGAGAGAAAAAGGAGAGAGGAGACGCGGGCCACCGTCTCTTCAAAACGAGGACCCAACAACACAGGTTGGTTGGGAAAAAATGCAAGCGAAAGCCCAACTCCCGGGAATCCTGTGTGTAAAAAACAATACGCGGGGGGGGGTCGAACACTCCCAGCACGTCATCAGGGGAAGAGGGAGAGTAGTATTCATATTGAGTAATTGTAGAGGGGGAGGGGGGGAGGGGGGGAGGAGGGGAGGAGAGGAGGAGGAGGAGGAGGAGGAGGAGGAGGAGGAGGAGGAGGAGGAGGAGGAAGAAGAGGAGGAGGAGGAGGAGGCGGCTCAGAGCAGTTCAATCGGGCCCTGGAGCTGCCCAGAGCAATTTTTAATCGAGCTTCCTCGGCGCAGCTCGCTCGAGGCTCCAGAGCACTTACAAAACCAACTCCCCCGAGTTGCCCAGAGCAGCTCCATCGACCCCCCCCGGAGCGGCCCAGAGCAGTTCCACCGAGCTTCCGCGTAGCAGGTCAATCGAGCCCCCGGAGCAGCTAACTGGGCATCGCTCGGACGTCCATTCCCAGATTTTGTTTTTTGTTTCGTGCGTGGATTTTTTCGCCAAATGGTCAAGGATGCTCCTCGATGGCCGTCGCCGAGAGAAAAATGCACACGTCCGAGCGATGCCAAGTCCTCGGAGCAGGTCAATCGAGCCCCCGGAGCAGCCAAAAAAGCAGCTCAGCAGAACCCCCAGAGCGGCCCCGAGCAGCTCTTTCGAGCCTCCCCGGAGCAGCTCCGCCGAGCCCCCTCCCGGAGCCACGAGGTCGAGCCACGGAGCAGCCCAGAGCAGCCAGGCCGAACCCCCCCGGTGCGGCCCAGAGCAGTGCAGCCGAGCTCCCCCGGAGCTCGCCATCGCTCGGACGTCCATTCCCTGTGCTTCTGTCGGCTTCGTGCGTGGCTTTTTCGCCAAATGATCAAGGATGCTCCTCGATGGTCCTCGCCGAAGGAAAAATACACACGTCCGAGCGATGCCAAGGGAGCAATTCCATCGAGCCTCGGCCTCCCCGGAGCAGTGACACCGTGCACGGCTCACATCCTGCGCCCACCGCGTGCGCGATTTCAGGCCTCCGTAGGACTCACCAGACCGCCCGACCAGCCATTGGCCTCGACCCAGAATGACTATGCCCAATGCCCAACACTTTTGTGTAACCTGCAGTCATATATATACACAATATTCTTGTAGTTCAAATCTCAGAAATGGTGCTCCGACGCGATTCAGGATTGTCCGGACGCAGCAGTCACCTTGATTCGCGATGTTGAAATCCCAGGAGCGGGTTTCTAGCACGATTGGGGATTTCCAAACGGTTGACTTCAGATGGGGCACTTCCCGCAATGAACATACATTCTTGTATGAATCTAGGCAGAGGGAACTTGGAGAGAAGGTTTATTGCAACATCGTTGGTGCGACATGTGTTTGCACTGATCCTCCTCCTCCTCCTCCTCCTCGTCCTCCTCGTCTTCCTCGTCCTCCTCCTCCTCCTCCTCCTCCTCCTCCTCTCTTCCTCCTCCACCTCTGGGTGACAATGCGTGTGAGACGTTTGGCGCTGTCTCTCTCAAGCAATCCCCCCTCCCGCTCCCCCACCCCCCCCTCCCGCTACTTGCTGCTCCCCCTTCGGGGCGCAGAATCCCGTCTGACGGGCCGTGGGGGACGACGGACCGCGGTGGAGGGGGGGGGGGAGTTCGCCAGCGCATTGCCAGGCACTGCGACGCAACCACACTTGACGATTGGGCCGTAGAGCACAGCCGTCCCACAAACAAATTCAGCATGCAGCATGGTATGGATGCGGCCCAAACTAACCCAAGATGGCCTCCCAGGCCGTCACACTTGTCCCAATATGGTGTTGACGATGGGCCCCGAGATGTCTCCACGATGACCCAAAACCTACCAAAAAAGGCCCCCTGCAATAATCAACCCACACAAAAATAAGGTTGTCAATCAATTGCTGTATACCGCTTTTCATAAGAGGAGCCTCTAAAGCCAGGATACGATCCGAATACTGGCGAAAACGGCGTCTACAAAACCACATCTGGGTCCATGAGAAGCCCCAACTGACTCCAAGAGCCTAGAAAGCACGACTCCCAGTTTCGGGGGTCGGCAGAATGGCGTAAGCCTCTGACATAAATTTCTTTGTGCTGGGCGCAGAAGCCCCACTCGCCGCTCTCGTCGCCGCACACGCCGCAGCCTCGGCGGGCCGCCGTGACCAGGAAGAACAATGAGAAGCACACGGCGTACATGCCGCAAAAACAAGCCCAAATGCTGTTCCCGTCCGGGTCGCACGCGAGGCCCTGCATCGCGCCCTGCCTCACCCTCCTGGCGCACAAGAGGCTCACGCAGAAGGACAGGGCCAAGAACGCGCCGTACAGCTGCACAAACCGGTCGCTGGCGATGGTGTGGCGGACACAGTCCTGGACCTTCCGCTTCGGGACGGGGCCGGCTCTGCCGTCGGCGTCCTCCTGCAATTCGAGCACCTCCACAAGCCTTTTCCAAACCCTCCTCTGGAACCATGCCGGGAAGAGCGCATTGACAAGGGAAATGCCAGCCTGCCAGCGAAGCCACGCGCTCATCTCGAGCGGGAGGGTTGCTCTGCCGGGCAGAGTGCACTCGCTCAGGGAGGGCTCGTGCAGGGCCGCAACGCACGCGCAGAGCTCGCTCAGGCTGATGGCGGTGACACAGATCACGTAACCGAGCAGCGGCCTGTCAAACAGGCCGAACCACATGCGTGCCCCCGCGTCGCAGCACCTCTCCGCTGGGAACAACCACCGCAGACCAGAGTGCCGCCACCACTGGCGGCAGCTTAGGCAGGCCCTCCCAGGAAGCTCCGATATCTCCAGCGCGCCTGCGATGACGTAGAGCATGCTGAGGTGCGGAAGCAAGATAAGGACCGGGATGATAGCGCCGAGGCCTGGGCGAGATCGCTGCGAGAGGCACGCGAACCCCCTCAGAGTGGCTTGGGGCGAAACTTCTTGGGCCTTGACCCTGCGGAGTGAAAAGGAGAGGTGGAGGAGGAGGAGGAGCACGAGGAGGAGGAGTGAAAAGGAGAGGTGGAGGAGGAGGAGGAGAAGGAGGAAGAGGAGGAGGAAGGAGGAGGAGGAGGAGGAGGAGGAGGAGGAGGAGGAGGAGGAGGAGCGACCGCAGGATGGGGATGCGGGCGCCGCGCGCCTCTGGATCTCTCCGCTGCCGCTCGAACCCTGCGGCGACGCGCCGCGGAGGAAAGCCGACGTCTCGGAGCAGGTGCTCCCCGGGAGCTGCTGAGGGTCCTCTTTGCCGAGGAGATGGCGAGGATGACGGAGGAGAAGCAGGAGGAAGAGGAGAACCTAAGTATGAACGCGTGCGGCATCGAGAGGAGCAGCGGCTGCCGATCCCGTGCTACTGAGGGTCCTCTTGCCGAGGAGATGGCGAGGATGATGGAGGAAAAGCAGAAGGAAGAGGGACCGAAGCATGAACACATGCGGCACCGACAGGAGTAGCGGCTGCCGATCCCGTGCGATCGGCGCCCAGCGCCTGACGGGTAACCGTGCGGTATCGTATGGTAGCCCTTGCGGCGCGGTAAGCGGCCATCTCAGCCAACGTATCGGTTCGAACCAGAGTGGGACCAGCCACGGCGAGATCATCAGCGGCACCCCGACCACACGCTGAATCCGAGGCCGCTCACGCCGATGACGTGGCATAGTTTGGAGATGCGTGCGATCTCTACAACACAACGTCCGATCAACTCAACGGTTGGCATACCAACACTGAAACGTGCAGCCCCCGACCCAACATTCACCATGGTGTCGCACCTTGATGTAGCCCGCCTGCACGCCAACGCAGTACGTGCAACCCAGATCAATTATAGACAACGACCAACACCGTAACCAACAACCAACACCACCAGCAACACACCATCACAACACGGACGACAAACAACAACGACCAATACAGAGAACAACGGATACCACGAATCACATACTCCAGCTGCAGCAACAGGTTCCAACAGTACAAGCCAACCCCGACTGTCAAAACAACAGCATCAACCACATAACAGCAGCGACGGCAACTGACTCTGGCGAGGACAACTATCACCGATGACCAGCCTGAGCGACTTCCAATCAACGAATGAATACAACAACGTTCGCGTCAAACACCATGAACATGTGCACCGCAACTAATCTTAGAATTGGGTGCCATCAGTGGCGTATGGAAACCTGCTAGGCGGCACAACACTTGAACACACGGCAGCAATCCTCAAACGTACAAGCCGGCGGATGCACTTACAAACGATATATTCACCACCGTGCCTTCCACATGCTGGGGCGTGTTAGAATGCTGGTTGGTTGCCTAGGAAATCTGCAGCAGTTCCCCACTCAAATGGGACGTTGGTAAGCTAAAACGTTGGCGCAGGTCGAAACATTCTACATGATTCAATCTCGCCAGGTGGAATTCTCAACGCCCTTGTTAGCGATGTCCTGGCTCAGGGGCCCCTGATCCCCCTTAACGCGTGCCTCCAGCAAGAACCTGAGAAAGCCAGCAAGAGTTGTTGGCTTACGGTGAGATGACCCCAATCGGAAATTGTCGTATCTTCCAATCGGTTCTCGTCGTTACGGCACGCCTGGCTGGGTCCCGCCCGATAGCGCCCCACCCGATGGGGTCCAACCCAGTAGGGCCCTATGCAGTAGACTTCGAAATAATATAATCTCACATGGCAAACTCAGACCCGACAGAATTTCAGCCAACAGTTCGTTAATCGATAAGGTCACACCCACTAGGGCCCCCACTGGCAAGGTCCTTCTAACATGGCGGTTCGAATAAAAATCTGGTTAGCACAGCGATGTAAGAACAGAGACCCTGTTCTCGCACGGCGGTTCGAACAATCCTGTTCGAACCGCAAAGTTAGCAAAGAATGCCTGTTCGGTCCGCCAGGTTAGAACAGAAATCCTGTTGCAACATGACCTTTCGCACAGAAATCCGAACCGCCACGTTGGAACAGGAATCCAGTTCGACCAACCATGTTTAAAACAGAAGCATGTTCAAGCATGGCGATTCGAACAGAAATCCTATTCGAACCGTCATATTACAACACGAGTCCTGTTCTAACCACCAAATTTGAACACAAATCCCGTTCGAACCACCGCGTTGAAAACAGAAATCCGGTTCGGACCACCATGTTAAAGAGAAAAAACCTAGACTCGGCTGTAACCTCTCTCTCTCTCTCTCTTTCTCTCTCTTTCTTTTTCTTTCTCGGTCGTTCTCTCTCTCTCTCTCTCTCTCTCTCTCTCTTTCTCTCTCTCTCTCTCTCTCTCTCTCTCTCTCTCTCTATATATATATATGTCATTTTAGTTGTTTGTGTGTGTGTGTTTTTTTGTTTTCTCTCTCTCTCTCTCTCTTCCTCTCTCTTTGTTGTTTTCTCTTTTTTTCTGCTCATATCCTACATCTTCGCCCCCCCCCCCCCGTGAAACGCGCCCCCCCGCGCGCGCGGCGCAGTGCGCAGGGCCGAACACCTGGGGGGCGGCGGCGCGCAGACGCACTGCGCAAGCCTCCCCCCTCCGCCGTGACCTCTCTCTCTCTCTCTCTCTCTCTCTTTTCTTTCTTTCTCTCTCTCTCTCTCTCTCTTTCTCTCTCTCTCTCTCTCTCTCTCTCTCTCTCTCTCTCTCTCTCTCTCTCTCTCTCTCTCTCTCTACATACATATATATATATGTACGCCGACCCCAGAGGCGTGTGGGGGACCCTTCGTGCACCCGACAAAACCGTCGTGCAAATGGCAAAAGTTACACGTTTACAAGCCTGCTCTTTATCTTCTGGCGCCAAACTTGCCTGACACTTCCACCGTGCAATAACCTCGCGTACACAAACTTGCAGACACTTCCACCGTGCAAAAACCTCCACGTCCACTTGCATGGAATTACGTTCCCTGCAGCGTCGAGACCCTCATCGAGAAGGACGAATCTCACTTCCGGCGTCTTCTGCAAAATGGTCTCCCCTCCCCGGGAGACGCGACCCGCTCCTTCGTCGCCATCGCACACCCAGGAATGCACGGTCCCCACGCGTCCGCGGAGCAGGTGCTTGTCCTCGCTGCGATCGGTATGATCGGCGAGGGCCACGGGCATTCCCTCCGCGATTGGCAAAAACCCATACAGGTTCCCGCTCTCCTTGCGTGGCGCTGCAGCCAGGCCATCTTTTGGTGTGGCAGATCTGGCCTCTCTCGCAGCGCATCTGGCGTCGGAGTGTCGCGCGCAGGGACGTACACCGTCGGCTTCTCTGCGGATATCCTTCGGGGTCACTGAGCGCTGACGGCGTGCTCCGACAGTTTCCTTCTGTGAGACCCCTGCTGCGGCGTCACACAAGGCCCTGCATCCCGCGTGCCCATATCCAACCTCACCGTGGAGCCAACCCCCCGGGACACAAGTATCACGCCCGTGCAAAAAGGAATGCGTGTCTGCCGTGAGGTCTTCTCTGCGGAACTCCTCTTGCGCGGATTTCAGCCATTCATCGTCGCAGCGCTCGCACTCCACTAGCTCCGTTACTCCCTGCACGCCCTCTTTACCTCCTCCCCAGCCTCCTGGAGCCTCTGGCCATAGATTCGAGGGCCCCCTCACCCTGCAAAATCCTTGCCGGGACCCCCCGACCACGGCCCTCACCACGTCTGACACCGCCAGCCTCCTGGAGCCTTTAGGCACAGGTTCTTAGAGCCCCCTCACCCCTCAAAATCCTTGCCGGGACCCCCCCACCACGGCCCCACCACGTCTGACACCGTCAACCTCCATGAGCCTCTGGCCATAAGTTCTGAGGGCCCCCTCACCCTGCAAAATCCTTACCGGGACCCCCCCACCACGGCCCCCACCACGTCTGACACCGCCAGCCTCCTGGAGCCTATGGGCATAAGTTCTGAGGGCCCCCGCAACCTGCAGAATCCTTGCCGGGACCCCCCCACCACGGCCCCCACCACGTCTGACACCCCCAGCCTCCTGGAGCCTCCAGGCACAGGTTCTGAGAGCCCCCATCACCCTGCAAAATCGTTGCAGGGACCCCCCCACCCACCGCGGCCCCCACCACGTCTGACACCGCCAGCCTCCTGGAGCCTATGGGCATAAGTTCTGAGGGCCCCCGCACCCTGCAGAATCCTTGCCGGAACCCCGCCACCACGGCCCCCACCACCACGTCTGACACCGCCAGCCTCCTGGAACGTCTGGGCATAGGTTCTGGGGGCCCCCTCACATTGCAAAGTCCTTGCCGGGACCCCCCCACCACGGCCCTCATCACGTCTGACACCGCCAGCCTCCTGGAGCCTCTGGGCATAATTTTTGAGGGCCCCCTCACCCTGCAACGTCCTTGCCGGGACCCCCCCACCACGGCCCTCACCACGTCTGACACCGCCAGCCTCCTGGAGCCTCTGGGTATAAGTTCTGAGGGCCCCCATCACCCTGCAAAATCCTTGCTGGGACCCCCCCACCACGGCCCCCACCACGTCTGACACCGCCAGCCTCCTGGAGCCTCTGGGCATCCCCCATCACAGCCCCCACCATGTCTGACGCCGCCAGCCTCCCTGGAGCCTCTGGGCATAGGTTCTGAGGGCCCCCTCACCTCGTAAAATCCTTGCTGGGAGCCCCCCACTACGGCCCCCACCACGTCTGATACCGCCAGCCTCCTGGAGCCTCTGGGCATAAGTTCTGAGGGCCCCCTCACCCTGCAAAATCCTTGCCGGGACCCCCCCCCATCACAGCCCCCACCACGTCTGACGCCGCCAGCCTCCTGGAGCCTTTAGGCACAGGTTCTTAGAGCCCTAGAGCCTCTGGGCATAGGCTCTGAAGCCCTCTCACCCTGCAAAGTCCTTGCCGGGACACCCCCCCTACCACGGCCCACACCACGTCTGACACCGCCAGCGTCCTGAAGCCTCTGAACATAGGTTCTGAGGGCCCCGTCACTCCA